AGTCCCACCTAAAAACATCTATAAGGGATTAAGTGTATGCTATATTCAAAATATTTTCATTGTTTTTTCTTTCTGTCAGACACTTGGTTCTAACAGGGGAAGCCATTAACGGCTTCACTTCCACATGTATGCTCTCTTTAAAGTCACTAGACTCCATTGATTAAATGTCATTTTGGCACGCTGAACACAGAAGCTGCTGGTTGACCAAAGTCACACAGTAACACAGAGTAACTGATCCAGGCAGGTAGACCAGCAGTTCGTGTGTTCAGGGATGTTGAATCACTGTTTTTCTCAATAAAGTCTGGCTTTGAAGAGATTGGTATAGATCTCTGTTGGACATTGCTGTCGGATGGCGAGGTAGAGCAGTGAAGATACTCAAAATAAAATAGGAAAATACTCAATATAGCATACACTTAAACTGATATTGATTGTGTTAGGTGGGACTTTTTTTTAGGGGGGTAAAATATGATTTATAGTGGACCCCATCCACAACAGTTGTTTAGCTTCAGTGTCCGACTCCAGCCTGCTTCTCTAAACTGGGCCATGCTGATCACCATCTACTGCAGGTAATACATTGACTATGAATAGGTACCTCATAAAACCCTGCTTCAAAAAAGCTGAATTATCATTTTAGTATTATTTTAAGTTTTTATTCAAAAAGCAGACTTTGGTATTTGTGCTGTGGTGGATAATTCAAATTGTTCATGGTGACTGGCGTAACATTTTCTTTAAAAGAAGTGCTAACTTCTGCCAACTACAAACAAATGACAATGACAGTACTTGGCAAATAGCCAATCAGTTTGCAGCAGGGAAACAATCAGCCCCACTTGACATCAAATTTGTGCCATCCGTTTTTTTATTACCAAGGGCTTTGGGCATGCGTTTTGTTGTTTTCTCAACACACAGGGTACTTGCCAGTGTGAACGTGGGGCCAAGTGCAGTTAAAACATCATTTTAAAACAGTTCTATACAGCCACTGATCTTAGCTCATAGAATAGTGTTAAATACCCCAAGGATCCTTTTATTCATAAGTTACTCAATATCCTAAGTGCTAATATTGTAGGCAACTGGACTTGCTTGTGTTTAAGTCTAAGAGCTTACTTGACCCCTATGACTCTGCAAGGGTTCCCACCCACACAGGGTTTATAGCCTGCAACTTCGTACCAGTCATTTAGAACTGAAGAAACTTCTTGGATGAGAGGTGAAATGTCTTCAAGAAATGCAAGCAAGTCCAGTTGCCTACGATATTAGCACTTAAGATTACCATGACCTGGATGACTGAGAATCTTCACCGACAAGTTACTCAATACCACAGAAAACACATTTGTGTCTGCTGCTAGCAGGTCAGGCATTGCCCCACTTGCCCCCAAATGACCCTTCGCCTTTAATTACATGACCAGAGTGTAGTGATATTCCAAAACAAGGAATTAAGTCTTAAAGTAATAAAGGAGCATATGAAACAGAAAAACATCTATCACAACCTTGAAGCCTCTGTGAATCAGCTGAGCTGGAACAGATTGAGGCCTCTTCACCTCTCCTGTACAGCTCATCCCACTAATGACTTTTCCATCTGTGCCACTTTTTCTCCTGGACAAGCAAAGACTCAGGAAAGGCCGCCTTCCACAGAGTGTGCCGAAACAAGACTCACATGTTAGAAATCACTTCTTTTTTGTCCATGTGAGGACAGTCTGAACTCTAAACAGAAGGGGAAGGGGGGCAACCAGTTGGGTCCTGAGATAAACTAAGTAGCTTATCTTATATAAGTTCTCTATATACACAGATAAAGGTTTGGCGTAGATGTTGTTTATCTCACCAAGGTTTAGGATCAATCTGTTCTAGGTAGAGGATAGAGTATTTTGTTTCTGTTTATCAGATATTCAATCTTGATATTTCAGCACCAACATGCCCACAGGAATGTTTGTCAGCACCTCTTTGTCCTTTTGGGTTTGATGTTTAGTCAGTCTGCACTAACCCAACTCTCAATGTTCGGCTCAGACTTGTTCTTTTGCACGTCTACCACCGAGTCATGTACTGTATATCCACTAAATCCAGACAAGGTCATCATCACCACATTTCCAGTCATTATCATGTTCCATGATTTCAGTCTTTATACAGTTTTATATCCTCTGCAGTCCAGAGCTCGTTGGCTCTGACCAAAATGATTAATGTGGTTATCTCTGGGAGAAAATAGCAGAGGGTAGAAAGACTGCTGATTTGTACCTTTCACTTTGGTGGCCTCTGCCCTTCCCTCAAGGCAAATGCCAATTTAGAAAACCCTGCTTTCTCATTTTTTGATGTCTAGGTTCTTCTTGGCTGTATACGAGAGGGAGTGTACTGGCCCATCTGTTGAGTAAAGCAACCTATTCCCCCCCCAGCCAGGCTGAACTCCCTCCCCTCAGCCTGCACTGTCACGTAGCACAAGAATGTGGGTTTGGTCTACTGGAGAGGAAAATGTTTATTTAATCCCTGAAAAAAAGTCTGAGAGGAAAGGCTCAGAGCTAACAGGCCACTGACTGAGTTTTGCTTAGATGCTCAGAGGACTCTCTTCATGATTACACTGATAAACACTTCATATTTAATTGGTCTTTTAAGATTTCAAGCCAAGTTGGAAAACTGTTGAATTGAGAAATATACTGAATGAAACATCGAAACCAAAATCATCCATGTATATCTGGAATAATTAGATTAATAATAAACATTTTATGCCAACGCTGCAGCCATGTGCACCACTAGGTGAGACAGGGGCCCATGTGACCATGGACCATGTTGAGTGACACAAGGCTCCATACCAACACCTAAGCACGTGCTTGTAATTAACTGTAAGCCACCACTGTTTTTCTTTTTTTTTTCAATTGTGGACTTGTAGCAGCTGAAACGCTAAAGGCCGTACACATGTTACTGTGTTGAATTTTTAAAATGTAGATATGTAAAGGTTACATTAAATGTAATGAATGTAGACTGTTTTGCAGTTTGCAAAAACTGTGACCTCCAGCCCTGTCATGTGTAGTGGAGGTGGTGGATGGCAGAAGATTTTGTACAATGGTTTTGGCGAGTTCCTTAAGTTCTGCCAGCTTTTTCAGTCTTACTAAATAACAATATGTTACAAATTTGACCATTCCATTAGTTTTTATTGTCTCTCTTGGATGACATATACTTTTAGAAATAAGTGTATCTTCAAGCATTTAAAAATATATATTAATTTCAGCCAGATTATGTGAACTGCATATATTCTAATCCTTACTTGGAGAAGAAAAAAGCATCACAAAGCGTTGTACCTGGGGGCTTCGGCAACCCTAAACCCCTGGGCTTGCCTGAGAAAAATTAAATGCACAAACCTGCTACTTTTAAATATCCCATCGAGAGAGACTCTCATCCAGCCTGCTCTGTTTTGTTCTGAAAATGTCTGTGTGCAACCCCGTTCCGTGGACGATAAACGGGGTGCAGACTTCCATCTGTGTCACTGGTGATGAGGAAATAGAGTGAGTGCTGGACGGAGCAGTGAGTGACAACAGCCCCGCCCACATTTAAGAGTACTGTTTGTGATGGAAATGCCAAACGGACCTAGGGTCTAGGTACTTGGTCTGAAGCGTTAGTTTTTGTTCCAAAGGTAACATACCAAGAGTGTTTGGTCAAAACAGGGTTGAAAACTAGCTTAACTGCCTTGTTAACTCATCCCAAAACACAATTCATTCAAACTCAACAGAAACAAAGTAAAACTCACCAAAACTGTCTTAATTAGTCTTCTTAGTCATTTAGTTAGTTAATCCACTGTTCCAGCAATCACCAACTGTGGACTCAGAAAATGTGCCCCCTGAACTATATAGCTGAATAGCCCTGTTGTACGATATATGGACAGGACCTCTACACTTTTTGCTAATTACCATGACAGGCTTGTTTGGAAAGGTAGAGGTTATTAGAGCTGTTATGCTGGAAACATACACTTTTTGGTGCAAGGAACAGGAATATTCACAGCAGCAACAGCGAACCCAGCAACAAAGTTGTGTGCCATAGAAAAACAAAACAAAACACCCAGCTAAAAGATGCTTAAAATCCCAACAGAAGAAAGAGGAACTGCAGAATTGTCTGCAGGTATGTCAATACAAGTCACTCCTCACTCACATTAAATGTATTAATTTGATCGATTGTTAATTTAAAAATTTAAAAAAAAAAAAAAAAAACACAAATGAACCCTGTTGAATTCTGGGTTACTCTTTGTCGAGCAACAGGTCTAGTGAAAGTAAAACCTTTAAGGACACCAACACAAAATAACCTCTGGTGTTCTGTCTCAATAGTATGGGACTGTCCAGGGCCTGTACTGCTCAAGTCTGTGGTTGATGATGTCGTAGAAGGCGTCTGGAAGAAAAAAAAGGCAGTCTCTTAATTGCCTCGTGCAGCACGTGTACTCACAATGCTGTTTTTGTGCATTTTTCCTTTACTCACAGATGTTTTCCAGTGACACACTAAAATGTGTTGTACGTGTTACCGTGGAAACCCTTTGATACTTTAGCCAAAAACAGTTGCAGGGCAGCCGGTCATGGTGTTAAGCTTTAAGAAGGTGATTTGCTGTAAAAATGTTTGAGCAATCTGGAGAAGATTTACAAGCAGTGCACACAAAGCTGAGCGGCAGTGGTTGCAGTCTCAACTTGGGGCTCAGGGTCTTAGATTGTATGTTATGTAACACAGGAAATGCTGCTTCTCTTAGGATGTATAGCCTGTTCAAATTGCATCAGAATGCAGAGGTCCTCCAAGCCAGAAAATGAAAACCCAGGACTCTTCATGGCCCTTGTGCAAATCTAATATATTTCTCAGATGAACATAGTTCATCAGCTATACAGAAATGGAACAAATACATGTTGGGAGGTGAATTACATATAAACACATGCACATAGTTTCTGTGACAAATGACATGTCAGTCAGATAAACAGGCAGAATTTGTTGGTAGAAAAATTGAGTTCTACATTGTGTTTCTTGACATTAGTGTACATTCTCATTTTTTTCAGAGCCTTGACATTCAAGTGGAGGACGTGCGTATACGAGCCATCCTGTCATCGTACCGAAAGCGGATCCCTGTAACAGAGGGCTATGTGGAGGTCAAGGATGGCGGTAAATGGAAGCAGATTTGTAACGCAGAGTGGACCCAGCTTAATGGCAGAGTCATCTGTGGCATGTTTGGCTTCCCCGGGGAGAGGAAGTACAATGCCAGAGTTTACAAGTGAGTATTCCGCTACTGTATGTGTGGTCCTGGGTAATTCAAAGAGCAGAGGAGGGTTTAGGATTGGATTCACAGAAATTCATGGTATTATAAGGTATTTTGCAACAGCGCGGCCCACTATTTTGCTGTGAGTCAGTGGGCGTTTTGTTGGCTAATGTGTGTCTAGGGAGGTGACAGATTGTCAGCTCTGATCTGTTCTTCCCTATGTCTATACCACACCCTCAAATTGGTAATTACATGTTATCCAGTCACCCTCTGTGCCTGACATGGATGCAAAAACCAAGGTTGTACCCAAATCAGAGTTTTCAATTCAACTAGTAGCCAGTTTGGGCTGCTCATTTTAACCTGTTGAGAAATACTCAGTACTGATGTTTATTCTTCAATATACTTTACTTTTTATGATTATGAGGAATATATTATTCCAAGCCTCTGCTCAGTTACAGTACTGTCCAGCGTCTGTAGCAGCCCCACACAAGTAAAAACCATAAAAGTATAGTCTGGTTTTGGCTTTACTTTCAATGTACAGGTGTAAAACATTACTTGTAATTATTAATGTATCTGTCATTGGTTAAACAGTGTCAGTTTAAACACCTGCTTGAAGCAGAGACTGAATACTTATTAGAGTATGTGAAAACGACATTCTGTCCATCAGATGAATGTCATAGAAGTATATTCACCCTCCTTTTAGCTCTGTTTTTGGTCTCCACCAACTCTTGAGGAAAATGCCTAGCTCTTTAGTTGCTACATGCTCTACTGTATTCACCAACTTGTCTCTAACCTTATCTATCTGCTGTTTGGTGCTGAGACGGTAGTGTTCAGTGGGTTTATTAGAACTTGATGAGAGCAGTGAGACTGAACTAAACTGGTAAAGTCACAGGGCCATGAAATCCATACGATGAGCTTAAAGGTGTTTAAATATAAATGATAACTAAATAAATGTAAGCTTAAATGTCTCATAGAGCTGAGAGGAACTGTAGACTGGGGGTTTCCCCCAAACCCCCAGGAGCAGTACTGGACTTTGAAGCCAATCTGACATAGTGGCCAAAGTGTGTGACCCTTATGTGATGCCATGGAGCCCAAAAACACTTCTTCCCATAGATTACATCACAAAAGAGTCATAAATCAGTGGATACAATTTTTTGAACGTTGCAACTCCTGTGAAATCACTTGTTTCACTATCAGGATTTGTTCCTTTCAGTGCGATAACATTTCGAAAATCTACAGGAGCCGCACAGTTAAATCATTTTATCCCCATTAAATTTAGCAGAGGGCTAAACCAGAAGGTAGCCACTTGGCCCATGGAAATATCTGGTGCGCCTGCTCTTTGGGCCCCACGATGCAGAAGATCCGGGTAATTTTGTACCTGGGAAATGGAGCTTTTTTGGCTTTGTGTGCCACTGAGCAACTTGCATAGGAATAAACAGGGCTCCTCCTCCAAAGCTGTATCCAGGCAAAATTTAAACTAATAGATCTCTCCATGACATCCCCTGTTGATAACTTACATGAGATGAATTTTTTTTTTTTGAATTACAAGTTTTATTAAAATTGTATGTTTAAATATGCAAAGAAAACTAAAATAAACACCTTAATGTGTATTTTGGACATTTTCTTTACACTTGTCTGAATATACACATGTTTTGGAAGCAAAATTGCCCAAAATCTCAAAACTGACCAGTGCATGTTTTCACTTGGGTGTTTCGACCATATCAACTAAAACAAAAGTTGCTGAACTCCATTTTGACTGAGGATACTACTAAAAGAACCTGGGGCTTTTGGGTGCTCCGGGGGTTGGATGTCTGGGACCCAGCGGTGGCTGCCTGCGTGGTATGTTTTGTAATGCAGCCTTGGTTTGCAGCCTGTCCTGTAAGGGCCTCATGTCAGTTCACTGAAACTAAACGTTTCACCTGACATTTGAATTCTACTGAGAGATGTCAAGTTCCGTAGTGGAAATAATTTGACTCCGTGGTGGGTTACTTTTCCGACCTCAAGCTGACACTCAAAACCTAAAACTTTTTTGTCAGCTCATCAAGGCCCTGACTTAAATCAGTTTTTTTTTACAGAATATACTCTGTTAACCTTTTACCACCATCTGTTCTGCCGTCAGGACCTAACACTAAACCTCCCATAAACAACTAGTTTGTGGTCATTAATCCTGGCTCAGTTCACAGCAAAACACACAACTGAACCCTTCAAAATATGGAGTCTCCATACCTTGTAGCAGCCCAACAGTGTAATAAATCTGTAAAAACTAATCATCACATAGTCCATTGCTTAAGATTTAAGAACACTACCACCAAAAGTTGCTGTTAAAGGGTTAAAATACATTGGAATAACCCCAAATGGTACATGTTCCAATGTGTGGATCAAATGCTTGACATCACTGGCCCTTACACCTTTAAAGCCAACCTGACTCCTGTATCTCCAACATTAGTGCATTCCAGAAAGCTGTCATAAGGCATGAGCCACTACTGAGGGATCTAAATCTTGCTTACGTGAGGAAGCTTGCAGCCAAATAGCCACAGGTTAATCAAGGCCTACCATAAAACATCCAGCACTAAGGTTAACCTTGAATTTAGTGTCTGTGCCTGGGCTGGAAGTTTCCTTCGCGTTAGGTAACCACAGAGGAGCACGACGGTTCCCTAACTTTCCATCTGCGTGTCAGTCTGCTCCCACTTCGGCCCCATGAAACGTGTGTTATTACAGGCTGTCGTTTGAAACGGCGATGACACAGAGCCAAGAGCTGCCGCAGCTTCATAATCCTGAGTGAACTTCTGTGCTGATGCTCCTGTGTAGCTCAGCTTTATCCAGTCACTTGAAGAATGCTGGATTTAAATTAAATGATTAATTATTATTGATAATTATTAAGTTCGACATTTTCAGTTTCATGCCACAAAAATACAAGTATAGTACCCAGGATATTATTCAAGTGGTTTTTATGTTACTAATTTTTATTATTATTTACAGTGATGATCCATGAAGGTGGGACACTTGTGAAATACAGAGAGAAAGTCAAAGAGTCAGAATTGTGATTTAAGAAATGCAGACGGAGCAATTTAGATAACCAATTAAATTACTTTTAATATTGAAAGCCAGTTCTGTCAATGGTGCCTCTAAAAACAACAAGTGAACACACTCACACCTCTCACTTCTGTATTAAACACCCATAAAAATAGAAAACAGGATGTTGTGCTTTTTAAAGTAGCTAAACTACAAAATGGAGGGATTTACTGACCTTTAATCCCTAGCTTAGCACCTTGGAACTGCTGACAATGAGGTGATTCCTGAATTTATGTTAGCAAGTCAGCTCAAAAGACACAACATATGAGCAAGATAACTTTGGAGTTACAGGCAGACATGTTCCCATACTTACCAACCTTCCCATTTCTCCTGGGAGACTTCCGTTTTTGATTTGATTTGGTTTCCTCAAAGGGTCCAAATTCTCCCTGGCTCCCTGGACCTGGCTTGCCCTCCTCTGCTGCGGCAGGTATCCAGTGGTCCTCAAGAGACCATGAGCCTGCCGTTCCGCCTTGCTTAGGCATTCGGGATCCAGGTGGGTGAGGGCCAGGGGTGACAGCTGGCCTGGACAAGCCTACAGCCTGGCCCCCCCTCCCTCCTCTTGGCACTCTGCTTGAGTACCAGGGCCCTGAACCAAAACTCTAAACCACATTAAAAGAATTAACAAAAAAAGGCTGTTGCAATACTTTTGTTATTTCCATTCTTTAAACGTCACCAGAATGCACCAAACAAAGATTCTGAAACTCCATTTTTTTGGGGGGGCAACTGCAGCCCCCTGCTTTGGTTTTTAAATCCTCCCTATTTTTTGAGGTCTCAGAGTTGGCAGGTATGCATATTCCTCCCCTTGTGGTGGAGGCTAGCTGCAAATTGCGCTAAGCTAACATGATAAGGACTGAGACAAAATCAATATCAACCCCAGCTGGCCACCAACATCATGATGTTGATATTATGTTGAATTTAGGATGTGACGTGGAATGACCGAAATCCAATGTCAGGACAATGTCTAATGCAGATGATGTTGGTAATATCCTGGTTTTAAGTTGTGTTGTCAAGTAACCAAAGTCACCATTTTCCAAGCATCTTATGCTAATTTCATCTCAATGTAGAGTAATGACATTCAGTGATAAGGTATGGAGAAGCTGCAGAATGCTGTAATTTTAAAGTCCACACAATGTGAAAATCCAGCATTGTTAGACATTGAAAATATTGTCAACCCGATTTTCATTCTCGTTAAAATTTAATGTCTGTCTGATGTAAGAGTTTTTAATGTCTAACTGATGTCACATTGACATCACCCTCAAATTTTACTCCCTGTAAGACAACAAACAAGCAAACCACCAAAACATTAAAGTAATGGGATGAAAAAAACTAAAACTCTGCTCCACCCTTGTCCTTAGTATGGGTCAAGTTCCAAAACACTGCTACACCTACCATACGCAACACTATGGATTTGATGACTCAAGTGGTGTCATTTGAGTTCCTTCAGAGTCACGTAAGACACTATACAACTATTTTCACAGGCACAGGAGTAGAAAAAGCCTTGACAAAAAATGTACACTGACATGTAAAAACTGCTGAAGTTCTCTGTATGTAAAGGCCCACATTGATGTGCATTATCATTCATTTCAAGCAGAAAGTTAGTAGTGTAACAGTGACATTTAGGTTTATCAAGGGTACTGAAAAACACATCTTTGGTATGAGTGTGTCATCATATTTTAAGCTAGGTTAAGGGATTTTGGTAAGAAGTCAACTTTCACAGCCTCAGGACCACCAGTTTATTCAATCATCACTCCATGTGAACAGCACTGATATGCATCACGGCTGTGTTCAGATTTCATCTGAGGAGATAGTGGAGCCAGTCCACTGGCTTAGAACATTAGTTCTGGAGAGCTTCCAGTCTGCAGCGTCCCTCTCGCCAGCTCCCAAATGAAAAACAAATGCTGCCTGTCCCATTCTAATCCCATTTCTCACGTACACCTCAGACATGGGACACAAGGACAGGATATGCCATTCTGCAAATGAGACTCATTAAATACATAATATGGGCTCACTAATAAATGGAGAGAAAGACATTAGCACCCCAGCAGGCCTGAAAGAGTCATTAACCCCAGTTTGTTCAAGTTCATATGGATGACTGTGAACTCTCCAGCTGTTAGCTAACCTTTCAGTTTTGCTTCTAATTATACAATGTGCTAATGTCATTGCTCTTGTCTATGGTGCCAAGTTAAAGCATTGTGATAGGTGTAATAATTTCACTCCAAATTTTGATAAATGTCATGTGTTTCTCAAACAGCAGGTCCACAAATTCAACTGCAGGTCCCCTGATGAGGTGCCTGTTAGCAAGTTAATGAAATCAGAATTTTTTCACACACTCACAAATATCAGGGTACTTGGTCTGAAATAAAAACGTAGACTAAACTGAATTGAGAAAACAGTACAGACCTAAACCATCATGTGCTTTAATCTCTTTTTTGCCACTTGGTCACAGAACTCCATTACAAGATCAACATCACACACTTGACTGACATATGGCCTCAGAAGTTGTTGTGCTAATGTACAAAGTAACTGCCTATTTACACATCCAGCAGACATTAATCCAATATTTACTCTTTTTTAGCTCTGTTTTTGGTCTCCACCAACTGCTGAGAGAAATATCTCGCTCTTTTGAGCTTTTTTGCAGCTCAGAGGATGAGATAGGTGCCTACTGTGAGCATATGCAGATTTTTTAAAGGAGACCGGCGGTGTTGAGAGATGCCTTTGCAACACGGCTAGCCGTGTTAATAGCAGTCTGGGCAATATATATATTATATTGATGTCGTGATATGAGACCTAATATCGTGATACCTGTGTAAATATTTTGTGAAAGCACCAATAGTAAACCCCTCCAATTTTGTTATAAAATCAATATCACGGTATGTGGTCAAAAATATTGTGATATTTGATTTTCTTCATATTGCCCAGTCCTAACAAGTACACATGAACCATACTCGAGACCACCCTCTTCTGTGCCTGAACATGGTACACAGTGTTCACACTAATCAAACGAACTAGACTTTGGGGTCAAGTGTATTTTGATACAGGCCTGGGTTTCTGATGTGAAAGCCTCCTTAAAGACTGTAGAACTATACTTATTATTTTATTTGTAATCAAGGACATTTAAGACGAATAAAACATCTAAAAAAAATCCTGTGTGTCTGATCTACAATATTGAAAAAAACAACAACTCTCAGCTGATCAAAGTTTAATTGGTCTCCTTTCCTTTTCCTCCATCTGTCCAGGATGTTTGCTCGCCGGAGAAAGCCTACATACTGGGACTATTCTGTGAACTGCACTGGCAATGAAGCCCATTTGTCCAGCTGTAAACTGGGCCAGGCTTCATCACTGAAGTCCAATGAGACCTGTGCTGGAGGGTTGCCTGTTGTGGTGAGCTGTGTGCCCGGCAGAGACTTTGCTCCAACGCCAATGACGGGATTCAGGAAGGCCTTCAGACAGGAGGTAGGGTCTATTCTAAAGTCAATCCACAATACACACACCTGACTATTAATACTTTATTTTCAATACATAATTACTTTAACTGTTGTATTCTACTTATTAAGACTTGGGCTTTTCCAGATCAAATAACTTCCACTCATTTTGGAAAAATAATTGTCCGTGTGTAATGAGCCACTGTAACAGTAAGATGTGCTGTCTTCTGTTAGTGGCAAATTAATTTTGTGTGATGTCTACAGATGGTATCAGTCAACTGAAATGGTAAACACTGCACTGTTTCAGTTCAGTTCTCTGGCTCTAATGCAGAGGGAGGGCCATTCGATGTTTTGGTTAGACATGGAGCCAACACTGACGTTCGGTACTTTGTGTCACTTTGTGAGCTGCAGCTGCTTTGGACACTTCTCATCAGTATGAATTATTGTCATCTTGGGGTTTTAATGATGACATTATGTAGTAAAATTCTTGGGACAGGGCAAGGAACAACATGTATCTCCAGAAAGCAACGCCAATGTCAGCTAACTTTTATTCTTCTCATATGTCCTTAAGCATGAAAACTGGGGTCCAGAGTCTGTAAAACTGCATCAGCAGGGAAGTTTAACACATTTTACACTGTAAGTGCTTAAAAAAGGGCACACAGTTTTTTGTTTTATTCACTAAAAAACAGACAAGGACAAGAAACTTTATTACAAGACAAGGGAAGAGTGATATTTTACACCAAAGTGTGCTCCCAACTTTTAGGAAGGCCCTTACCTGTCTCAGCATGAAGACACCCCCATGCGCCCCAGGTCTATAAAAGAAATGGTTTTTCCAGTGTGGAACTCCATCCAGCACCTTTTGGATGAATGGGACAGCTGCCTGTGAGTCAGACCTAATCGCCAAACTACAGTGTTGGACCTCACTGATGCTTGTGTGACTGAGTTTGGAGCAAATCTCTGACCAGGTTCCAAAATCTGGTGGACAGCCTGAAACCAGAAGAGTGGAGGACACTATAGCAGCAGATTAATGCCCATGGTTTCAGAATGACCTGTTTAGCAGTCATATGTGGGTGTAATGCTTTGATGTGTGCGTGCAAAATAATTGCTTTTACACATGCATGTGGCTCAAAGAGACTTTGACATAACTGTTTTTAAGAGTGGATAGTGTTTTGATTTTGTCACAAAGAAACTTTTCCTTGGCACAAACATTTAGTGAGTCTTCACTTACTGGCTCCAGACGTGCTGCTGTCTTCCTGATTCTGACCTTTGACCTCCACAGCAGGTGAAAGAGGGAAGTTTACTTAAACCTATTGGGGGTTAAACAGGCTTTGTTTTGCATTAAGGTTTCAGGGGATGTGAAACTCATTCAGCCTGTAGACAACAACACCAACCTTCAAATCAAGCCAAGAAGTACTAGCAATATTTAGTGCACCACTGAGCTGACATGAATTTCTATCTGTGACTCCATCCACATTCCAAAGTGAGGTTTGAGCTTGCATGCTCTCTATCACGTTCCACAGCTGAGTGCCAGGTTGGGAGCGCTGTGCCTGACATCACGTCCCAGTAAATCTCCCAACACACTTAACAAGTCTGAGTCAAAGGAATTTTATCCCTAAACCAGATATTTACCATTAAAAAACCCCAAAGCTGACACATCCTGTCTGCAGCCTGGTTGCCGGTGTGAAAGTATAGTGAAGGCTTTGCAAGGCTGTAGCCAAGGAGTCAGCACTGTGGGGGACCAAACATGCCATGGTTCTGGGATTCCCCCCAGAAAAAGACTAAAGATTTGTAAACTTTGTCCTATTATATCATCATAAGCAAGTACAGCTATACAGTATATCATATGCGTATGCAATAAATGAAAACTTCCCCAGTCTACATTAATTACTAATGCAGTGCAAGTAATTAATGATCTTGCGCTGCATTAGTAATTAATGACACTTTATGTAGACATCATGTGGGCTATCTTACATAATGCAATAAAGACATTAACATGAGCTGAATACGCCTGTAAGCACCATTGATGATTGTTGGGTGAATTCATGGCTAATTACCTGCAGCTAATATAGCTATAATAACTCAGTGGTTCCCAACTGGTGGGTCGTGGTCCAAAAGTGGGCCTTAATTCACCCAGTTAGAATGTGAAAACATGCTGGCTCTTAACATGCTAAAATGACTGTTTAATTAAATGGATTCTGGTAGAATTGGTGATTGTGATTTGAGGGCTGTTTCAGGTCAAATAAAAAGGATGGTACTGTTGAACAATAAGGTCGACCTTCGTAGGGATCCTTTTCATAGTGTTGTCAGACATTTAAAATAATGTGAGCCTGTCAGTGGCAAAAACAAGCACTTTTAGTCGATGTAAATTAAAGGTGCAAGTGGTGGCTCAAGTGGTTACATTGCAGCTGTTTTGCCACTGACATCTACAGGCTTCTCACTCAATACTGGAACAGTTTAAAAAATTGTTGTCCCCATTAATCATTTAGACAAAATAGGGTCCAGGTTAAATAAATGATGAACTTACCACACATTAAGATGCCTGGGCTTTACTTTGTGAATACCAAACATTGCATCAGACTAAACTGCCACTAATGTGTTTACTTGTAAAATTAAACACTTCCAGTTTGTCCAAACAGTTAATGGGAGAACCACATTAATAGCATGTTCTGTAAACATGTAGTCACTCAGTCTGCTGACTCAGCTCTCTCATCACAGAAAAGGAAAAGCTGAGGCTCCAAACTTTCACCTGAGTCTATTATTTATGAAAGAATATACAAAAAATGTGGTTTTAGTATTTGAACATTTTAGCTTTTACAGTCATGTGTTTTACAGTGTCTCTTTTTCCTCTACAGCAACCACTGGTTCGTCTTCGTGGTGGGGCCATCGTAGGCGAGGGCCGAGTGGAGGTGTTGAAAAATGGAGAGTGGGGCACCATATGTGATGATAACTGGAACCTGCTGTCTGCCACCGTGGTGTGTCGAGAGCTGGGCTTCGGTACGGCCATAGAGGCCTTGTCTGGAGGTCGCCTGGGACAAGGTATACTCCTTTTCCATTTTCATTGTTATTTGTGCAAGAGAAATGACTCTTTTTGCAGCTGCTCCTCACTACACTTTCAGATCTTGGGGCAAAACATAATGAAAAGGGGAAAGGAAAATTGATTTTAAGGGCTTTTTGATTGAAACTGCAACATTGAAATAAGACTAATCTAAGCAAAAGTGCTGCTCTCTGCCTCCTCCAACACCTTCCACCTCTGTGGTAATCAGCTGAGCAATGCAACCAATGGGAAAAGATAAAGAAATGGATTGTGAGCAGAAACAGCCTGGACAAAGTGTACACTAGACATGAAACGGTCTCATGCCAATGAGCTCAGAATGGCAGTCTTTATTGTTGGAACAAATGTGCATGTATATTGCCTACATGGGACAGGATGGAAGGTTATGACTGTAGCAAAACCACATATCCCAAACATTTGAGGCAGTAATTCTATCCTTAAAGCTTTCCTCCCCATATCACCCCTGTGTGCCACTGAGCAGAGTGTCATGGACTCACAGACCTGATGGTAAAAGTGATTTAGCTCGGTGGAACAGGATTAGTTACATTGTGCAGGTCTGTGAGGATGGGAATCCGTTCCTGAGCTGGTATGAACTTGAATATCGTTCTGTAAGGATTTATGAAGATTCTTAAGTAATTCTAGTGAGTTTGGAAGTTAGTCACTGAGGAAAAAAAGAGATAAGGCACGCCTAGCTGAGCTGGACTGTCTGTACTGAAATGTATACCATTACTCTCTCTTCAGATGCTGGGACATAAAAGGTAGCTCTATCTACTGAACAAGGTTTTTTACATTAAAGGTTCTGTGTGCAACTTTTACTATATGTAGGTAACAATGTAAGCGTTAGCTCTGTCAGCATTCTTTTCTGTGTTAGCACTTTATTTATTGGGTTAGCACCATGGATGTATAAAAAGAACTGGATAGAGTGTCAGAGGTGGGGTCTTGTTCAGTCCTATAAAAGTTGCTTAGTGGTGCATGAAGCCAGAACAGTTCAATTTCCAGGTGTGAATTTACCTGGATCTTCTGCTCTGCTTCAGCGTCATTGGGCCAGTAGAGCAGGCGCGAGAGACTTTGGCTGGCCAAGCGGCTACTTCTGGTTTAGCCCTCTGCTACCTTAATGGGGATAAAACAATTTAATTGTGCGGCTCTTCTAGATGTTCCAGATGTTATCTGATTGAATGAACAAATTGTTCTACTGACTTCCAGATGTCTTTTTCACAACGTAAGTTTGTGGGGAAAAGTCTGTCTGGGCCCCATGGCATCATGTGAGGGACCTAGAAGTTATAATTCCATGGTTGGCCACTATTTCAAATTGGCTCCAAAGCCAGGCACTGTTTCTGGGGGCTTGGTTAGCACCATAAGCTGTTAGTGCTTGCTCAGCTACATCATGTTGACTATCCCGCCCCAGACTCTAGATATGTTCTAAATGTTGTACTCCTTTAAAGCTGCATTCTTGTTTTGGCCAAATGGGTATAGTGTATCAAGCTGTAAACACAATTTATTCATTACCACATTACATAGGCTAGTTGTTATGGTAATATGTTACCAGCATGTTACATCAATTAAATTAATCTATTGACAACTGAAATTCCAGTATTCACCCTCCTTTTAGCTCTGTGTTGGTCTCCACCAACTCCTAAGGGAGATATTGGCTCTTTAGCTGCTAAATGTTCCACCATGGTTACCAGCTAACCGCTAACTGCGCTGTCTATTGTTCGGTGCTGGGCAGTTTCTGTATAATAGGTATGCAGATGTCTTATTGAGTCTGTCTTTGAGGTTTCTGCCTCCACCCAAATGCAATGGAAGCAAAGTAAAATAAATAATAATAAGAAGAAGATATTAATTTGCAGGCTAACAGAGACAGGTACTGTGACTGCATTTAGATTATTGTAAACAAATCTCTTCATTCTCCTGGCCCTCCCTTCATAACTGACACTCCTTTTTTCACCCTGCTTTAATGTCTTTAGTATTTAATATCTGTGCTGGTAAATTAATTGAAAATAGATTATATAATTATAAATGATACGGCCAAAGGATTACTGCAAATATTTTTTGCCAAAATATTTTTGAGACCATTTGTTTGTTTTATGCATTAAGATAACTCTTAGTAGGCCAGTTATGTTCCTGCCCCATCAGGCTTCATTGTAGTCATGTTTCCATACCAAACGTAGACAATTACTTTGGTTTGTATGATGTTATTATAACGATGGCCAAAACTGCAAAACTAATACCCAAGCTGTAATAAACCTGAATTCCCCTTTTATTTGTTTACCAGATTAGGTGTCACATTTTAATATTGGTTGGTATTTTATTTTGAAATGTACAAGGCAAAGCTCGTGCTGGGTCGAGAAGAAGAAGACCCCCACCCTGTCTAGTTATTATCTAATGGAGGCCTTCACTCAAAGCAGTCTCACTTTATAGTCTCCACTGAGGAGTCTCCCCCCAGAGTGTACCAGCAGGGTTCTGTCACCGGCTGCATGGAGAGGTTTACGGCAGGTTTGGAATTTGGGACCCCCCACCCAACAAAAAATGTGCCAATGACCCACTTCTAAATTACACACTCAGCAGATATCTAGCACCTGGGTTATATGGTGTTGTAAAGCCCAGCTCCCCTGTTATAAGGGATATACTATGGAAAAAAGTAACATTTTCTCTAGGGGTGCACCAATAACAACCGTATACAGCACAGGGCTTCTGTCTCTTATTGGAGTTGCTCCCTTTTTCATAAACAGGGACGCGTTTCACATTCCAGTAATATTAGACATGGAAAATTTTGAAACAAATGGATGAATCTTCCTTTTCCAAAATTATTTTCCATCATGATTTCTCATCAAGTGGCTCTCTGCAACCCTTCATGGAGAAAAACAAAGCTCAGATGGAAGTAATAAAAAGCTCAGATGGTAACAGTACACCATGGTAAACATTTCACAGAAGAATATTATAGATGAATGTGTTTCTGATTAGCACATGAAGCATCAATCAAAGCTGTTTTGAATATTCCGATGAGTACTCATCTTTCATTATCAGAGTCTTAAGTGTCATTGTGAAGAGGTCAGGATAAAGTGAATGGAGCCAGCCAGAGGGTGCAGTCACAATAAAAACCTTTATTAACTTGTATAAGAATCATGTTGTGAGCATGGAAGTGTTAAGAGATGTGTGTGGCAGTAATACAGATTTTATTTCTGTGAGGATAGTGTGAAGCATTTTTTGTCACAGTGTCATTTTATGGTATCCTTTCTTCTCATGTAAAGGTCATATGATCATAGGCAATCAATATTATGGTACTTGATATGATGTGGTGACAACTGTTATTGCTATCCGTCCTTCCCCTTCCTAACCCCAACCCTGGATTTTACACCAGAGCTGTATTTTCATGCTTCTGCACTGCCGACAGGCATTATGTTTTCCAGTTGTCTCTCCACCTGTTTGTCCGTTTGTCCAATGCTATATCTCAAGAATGCCTTGAGGGGATTTTCCCAAATTTGGCACAAACATCCACTTGACCTCAAAGATGAACAATTATATTTTGGCAGTCACAGGTCAAGGTCACTGTCACCTCTCTTCCATCTTACTCTCATGATTCCCATATCTAAAGAATGCCTCGATGGAATTGTCTTAAAATTTGGCACAAACGTCCATTTTGAGTCAAGGGTAAACTGATTAGGTTTTGGTGGTCAAAAATGATGGTCACTGTGACCTTACATCCATTGAAATTTCTCAGATTTGGCACAAACGTGGACTCAACAATGAACTGATTAGAATGTGGTGTTCAAAGGTCCATGTGACTTCACAAAAAATGTTTTTAGCTGTAACGCGAGAATTCATATGCTTTTTATGACAAAGTTTCACACACATGTCTAATAAGATAAAATGATAAAAAAAAAGTCAAAGCTCAGTATCACTGAGTCATCATAATGCTCTGCAAAAAAAAACACTTTTCTGGCCATTATTCAACACTATAAGACAGCAACAGAAGAGGAGACAGTTGGTCAGAAACTGAATTGGTGACACTAATCTTGGGTGTTCACCCTGAAACTTTGCTGAGTGTATAGATCTTCTGTGCTGTCAGGTAGACGACGTGTATGAAGCATCCACGTTTTAGAATATGTCACTTCTTTGCAGCAACATCCATATTTGAAGCATTGTCTACTGTTATGGCTACGTATTAGTCTAGACAGACGCAAATGTAAACTGCAACTTGACTGGCTGGTGGAAGCATACAACCGTGAGGCGGTAATTCTAGTTTAATTTTATACCAGAGCTGTATTTTTCTATGGAGATGGTAAATAGACATGAAATCAAGACACAACACAGACATCTCTCAGTCATAATAACCATTTGTTTTTCCCTCTCAGTTTCAATGGGAAGCAACCTTTCTAAACAGTGTCTTTTCTTTGTACTTTTTAGGTATGGGCCCTGTGCATATGAATGAGGTGGAGTGCTCTGGATTTGAGAAGTCCATCACAGAGTGCTTCTTCAACAAGGAGGCTATTGGTTGCAGCCATGAGGAGGATGCAGCCGTTAGATGTAACGTTCCTGCTATGGGCTTCCAGGAGTCGGTGAGCACAAACACTACTCTTTCAGTGTCTTTTATGCATACATAGGGCCTGCTGCAGACCACTGAAAGGGATACTTCACTGATTTTCAACCAGCTTTGTGTCATAATAATTGGAGTAGTATGTGTAAATGAACTGTGGTAAACTTCTCTCCATCTTACCAGTGCCTAGATCCTCCTGTTCATCTCCCACCTCAAATTTTCACTAGCCCCCAGGCTGTTGCTCAAACTACAGATTGTATTTCAAAATTTTCATGTGCCCACCACCATGGACACAAAAAGTATAGAAGCAAATTGAGAGATAAATCCACCTCTCTCTCTCTTAAACTCAGATCAAACAGTAAAAATAGGCAGTGCTGATCAAATATGAACCAAGATTCTGCTAGGCTCTGATCACACAGAAAGCATTTTGCAGGTTGCAAAGGGCGCACTGCATTGCTTTTTTTGTTCTTTAAATAGAATGCCACCAGTAAAAAAATTAAAACTAAGTCTTTTTATTGTTGCTAGGCAACCACCCCATCACCTCCTTACCCTAACCTTACCGTGTAATCAATCTACTGTTTATTTATGTATTTTTATTTATTTCATTGTAATAAGTAGCTAGGTACTAAAATGGACAGGCAGAGGGTACTTGCAGTAGCTCCGCTTGAGGGTGAGAGGCTGTCGGCAAAAAGTTTGTTGGGCGAAGAGAAACTGAGATTTGTGTGGGTACGTGAGACCCTAAAAAAGAGGGTGGATCATTGGGAGTACCACCAGTTGGTCCAGGAGCTTCACCTCAATAATGGCCATTTCCAGGCATCATCTGATCACACAATGGGAAAAAAGCAGACATGATGTGGGGTGCTTTTCCGCCCTGAGTTGAAGTTTTTTCAACTCGAGGAGTTTAGAGCACTCTGGCAAAAACAGCAGGCGCCTAGAATGCAGAAACGTGAGGTGCACAGCAAGGCAAAAACAGCGAGCAAAAAGCTTCATTCTCATTAAAGAGGATTACAGAAAGCAGCCTCCAGCTGTTAAAATGCTTTCTCTATAATCGGAGCCTTACTGTATTGTCAGTTTTTCACCAAAAATGTTTTCAGAAGCATATATTAGCTTAGTTTTAACTGTAATAAGAGATTGTTTATGACCAGCTGCTCTTTACAATGTTTCCTGTGTCAAAGCGGAAAAGATTGCATAATGTCACCACCCTCGGGAGCACTTACTGGTGTGGTGCAGCGAAGTGCATTCTGGTAGTTGTAGGTTTTTCTACCTCTTAAGCAAAAGCTACAGCTTTTTCTTTATTTTTCTGGTTGTATAGCATCAGCTTGAAAAATTTTTGTCTTTCTACTGCATAGACAGCCCAGTTTTATGAAAAGACCATCTTTCCAGCAGTGAAATGCGTCTTTAAAGTTAACATATGTGAGGATATTTTGCACATCATGTATAACGCTTTCCAGCTCCTCCTAGGGGAGGACTGGAGGCGTCCAGGAGGCATCCTGATCAGATGCCTGAACCACCTCAACTGACCCCTTTTGACACAAAGGAGCAGCGGCTCTACTCTGAGGTCCCTCCGGATGTCCGAGCTCCTTACCCTATCTCTAAGGCTGAGCCCAGCCACCCTTCTAAGGAAACACATTTCGGCCCCTTGTATCTGCGACTTCGTTCTTTCGGTCATTACCCAAAGCTCATGACCATAGGAGAGGGTTTGTATGTAGATAGACCAGTAAATCAAAAGCTTCGTCTTCCGGCTCAGCTCCCTCTTCACCACAACGGTCCGGCACCACGCCCACATCACTGCATTTCTGCAAACTGCAGATACATTTCACACACCATTCTACCTTCACTCATGAACAAAACCCAGAGATACTTGAACTCCCTTGCTTGGGGCAGTAACTCACTCCCAACCCGGAAGGGGGCAATCCACCATTTTCTGGCAGAGTACCATGGCCTCAGACTTGGAGGTGCTGACTCTCATCCCGACGTCTTCACATTCGGCTGCAAACCCCCCCAGTGCATGGTGGAAGTCACCAAGTATTTGTTAAAAATATTAGAAACACTGGTGACATTAAATGTGATAGCACTCTTAGGTATGTTATCATGTATGCTGGGTTTGTTACTTTGTAGTAACAGGGTACTTTAAATCTTAGAAAGATACATTAAGTAGTGGTTAAAGAAAGAAAAACTTCCCTCACCATTTTAAGATGTTAAACAACAGCTACATGCTTTAAATATCCTGTCAAACATCACTGATTCATATAACAGCCTGGATTTATCCTTTAAGTTGGTGTGTTTGTGTTTGTCATGCCCGTAGCTGCGCCTGAGTGGAGGTCGTAACCCCTATGAGGGCCGTGTGGAAGTGCTGATGGAGAGGAACGGTTCTCTGGTGTGGGGGACGGTGTGCAGTGAAGGCTGGGGAACCATGGAGGCCATGGTGGTTTGCAGACAGCTGGGCCTGGGCTTCGCCAGCAACGCTTTCCAGGTACGAGTTGCAGCAGCCAGCAGGTGGGAATCAGCCTGTTTGGTTTGTAACAGGATCCTTTTTTTTCCACCCCTCTCTTCAAATGTTACAGCCTGTCAGTAAATGTCTGAAATGTTTAAGAACAAAAACAATAAATGGTGTTTATTTTGATTAATGTTGTTTCAGACTAAGATTAAGACATTACAAATCTGAGCACAGGATCTTAGGCAGGAGAGGTTGTAGTTTAACCCAGGTTTTTCATTAAACTTCACATGTAAAATTAATATTTTTTTGCTACATCTAGATCCCCAAAGTCTTAAAATGTACTGCCATGTGCACATAATTTCTCACTAATTACCTGTGGGATGTTTCCTGGAAAGAACTATGTCATTTTTTTAATAATAGGAAAAATAGTGACAATGTTCTGAGATGGTTATTTGAGATTAGTTGTAGAGCTTATAAAGGGTTGTTGATTTTTCAGAGGAATTCCTTAAACCATTTCTCTGTTAAAACCTAATCAATTATTGATTTACTTTTGACTCAATTTTGTTAAATGCATCCATTCAATCCAATCATGTCCTACAAATTCTATAACTACATATCAGATGGAATCACTTTTGCATTGCGTTAATTTGAATTATGTCCTGACAATTTAGCTCATTTCTAATAAAAATGAATTGCAAATGGCTTCAATCATCATCATTTTTGTAGTGGGTGAATTTTAAAGACTTCGCAGGAGAGATAATGATGAGGATAAAAAAAATATTTTCATAAGAAGCAAGTTAAAATGATTATTATAATCCATATTCAAATGCAAAAGTATAGTGTGCAATTTATTTTTTTAAGCTTAGGTTTCATAGTATCTGCCAGTCTGATAATGACAAATATTGTTGTATTATCATCACAGCTGTGTTATGTTTAAAAATAGCCTAAAATGATTTGTCAGGGTTATCATTTCACCAGTAATTATACTGCTCCTAAAACAGCCTTGGGCAGTTTGTGCAGAGCTGTGAAATGGAGAGCTGAGCTTTATGGGTGGAAATAGTAAAACAGTGATTTTTGTATGATTATAGGATGTCAGGTTTACCTTGAGGCAGAAGCAAGTTCAACTGTCTGTTGTAATAGGGGTGTATTTGTTATGTTATGATATTATTTGTGTCATCTTTTTGTCTGGCAGTGCTATTATACATTAATATATTTCACTCATAAGAACATACGTTGCATAGGCCTTATTTGGCAGTTTAAGTTGCACTTAAAAAACATATATGTACCATTATGTATCTACAAAGTAATGGCCCATCCATGAGGATTTAAAAGGACTGACTGTGCCCTCTAGTGGTCAATGTAGAGAACCACCTTTCTTCACAACAATTTAAGGTGTTTAAGGATTGCTACTTAAGTAAAACATCTGGAACATTTTTTTTCCAACATGGCTGGTGAAATAATAAATGATAAATTAGTATCCGTGGTGCTTAAAGAAGGCTTCATTGCAGGCTTTTGCAAACTGTTAAATGAAATCCTCCCACACCTCACTAACTAAATATGTTCTAACTGTTCACTGTTAGCTAATTAAAGGTTTTTGACTAGCTGTGTTCAGTAAAGCACTGTTATCATATATGAAGTGAGCAACAACGGATTATAGTATGTCCAAAAAGGTTAGTGTCAGTTTTGATATCAAACATAGGGGAGCGTGGGGAACCTCCTAATGCGGAGTAAATTGTTACACAGGTCAATCCCTTTGTTTGTCCAGCCACTTGACCAAAATACTGCCCAAACAGTGACCTGCAAAATCCCACAGAGATTGGACGTATTTCAGTGGAGTTCAGTAACAAAGAGCGTTTTGGACTGACATTAGTAAATTTCTTTGCCATACTTGTTTTTGCAATTTCTGAGCTGTCTCTGTAAGTCAAAGAATCCGACCATATATTATCTTAACAACTGTCTTGTTGCCTAAAACAACACAACACCATTTTGATCTACATAACCAACTCCCAGCAGGTGTTAGCTAGGGTTTATAAAATTTCCACACAGCAGCGTTAGTTGTAAGGCAGTGGTACAGCTAAGTGGCCTACAGCATATTTTCTCTATTTTTGCACTTAAAACTTATTTTCAGTTTGAACTCATGTCCTTAATTAAATAAGATATACTTATATACTTAAGTATATATACTCAAATATATATTTTAATTTGTCAGGTATCCTATTGGCACACAGGTTCACAGTTTTGTCAACATTCATACATTGTAGTGCAATCTATATACATCTATTGATCCAACCATTGATTATTGTTGATAGACTAACAGATGGATGGATACCTCTCTTTCCCTTGATGTAGGTAGAGAGATAAGTATCTACATACATCTATCCATCAATCTATCATGGATGAAAAGAGAAAAAGATATTATACCCACACATAGCCTACTATGTATCCATCTTTGTGCTTATCTTTCCATTCATGAAGCATCAGTGGTTAGATGAGGGATGTGTAGATGTTTTGATATCTATCATAGATAGATCCATAAACAAACCACTTCTCGGTTGTTCCAGAATAAAACAACTGTTCATGTGTAGCAGAGATGTGCATGTTGTTATAATAAAACAAGAAATAATTAATCTCAAACTGTTTTAGTAACATTTAGCCATAACTCAAATATGTGAGGTTGTGCCCTGCTCTCTCCTATTCGCTATGTGTGAAACTGAATCAGAAAGCATTACAGTTTAGCCTATGGGTCAGTTCTACAATGTGTACAGTATATGATCAATCAAAGTGCATTATGTCAGAGATGAATCAATCAATCAATCAATCAATTTTATTTATAAAGCCCAATATCACAAATCACAATTTGCCTCACAGGGCTTTACAGCATACGACATCCCTCTGTCCTTAGGACCCTCACAGCGGATAAGGAAAAACTCCCCAAAAAAACCCTTTAACGGGGGAAAAAAACGGTAGAAACCTGTGCAATAGATGTCGTACAGAACAGGTCAGCATAATAAATTAACAGTAATCCGCATGACACAATGGGACAGAGAGAGAGAGAGAGAGAGAGAGAAAGAAAGAGAGAGAGAGAGGGAGAGAGAGAGAGAGAGAGAGAGATGCAGGTAATGACAGTAGCTTACAACAACATTATTGAAAGTAATAATATTATAGTTATAGTTCTGGCTACTGTGGTACAATATGTTGAAAGTATGTATTAATATCTGGCAGTATACATGTGTGACAATAGTCATATGTGTATAATAACAGTAGAAGTTTTGACTAATGACTAATGATGGCAGCAGCAGGAGACATCTGGCAGGACCACGGCAGCAGCACAACCACACACGTCACGCTGTCCAGGCACCGCTGCGATATGAGTTAATCTGAGAGACAGTGGAGCACAAAGGCTCCGAAGAAGAAGCCGAGTTAGTGACATCCAGAATGGCCGAGTTAGCAAGATGCAGTAATAGAATACGAGAGAGAGAGAGAGAGAGAGAGAGAGAGAGAGAAGGAGAGAAGGTGCCCGGTGTATTATAGGGGGGTCCTCCGGCAGACTAGGCCTAAGTCAGCCTAACTAGGGGCTGGTACAGGGCAAGCCTGAGCCAGCCCTAACTATAAGCTTTATCAAAGAGGAAAGTCTTAAGTCTAGTCTTAAATGTGGAGACGGTGTCTGCCTCCCGGACCGTAACAGGAAGATGATTCCACAGGAGAGGAGCCTGATAGCTGAAGGCTCTGGCTCCTGATCTACTTTTGGAGACTTTAGGGACCACGAGTAACCCTGCGTTCTCAGAGCGCAGTGTTCTGGTGGGATAATATGGCACTATGAGCTCTCTAAGATATGACGGAGCTTGACCATTTAGAGCTTTATAAGTTAACAGTAGGATTTTAAATTCAATTCTGGATTTTACAGGGAGCCAGTGCAGAGAAGCTAAAACAGGAGAAATATGATCTCGTTTCTTAGTTCCTGTTAGTACACGTGCTGCTGCATTCTGAATTAGCTGGAGAGTTTTTAAGGACTTACTAGAGCTACCTGATAATAGAGAGTTACAGTAATCCAGCCTTGAGGTAACAAAAGCGTGGACCAATTTTTCTGCATCTTTTCGGGTCAGGATAGGCCTAATTTTCGCAATATTACGCAGATGAAAAAATGCAGTCCGTGAGGTTTGCTTTAAATGAGAATTAAAAGACAAATCTTGATCAAATATTACTCCGAGGTTTCTTACGGTAGTGCTAGAGGCCAGAGCAATGCCATCTAGAGAAACTATGTCATCAGATAAAGAGTCTCTGAGTTGTTTGGGGCCAAGAACAATAACTTCAGTTTTGTCTGAATTTAACATCAGGAAATTGGTGCTCATCCAATTTTTTATGTCTTTAAGGCAGTTATGGAGTTTAGTTAATTGATTACTTTCTTCTGGCTTCATCGATAAATACAACTGTGTATCATCCGCATAACAATGGAAATTTATAGAGTGATTTCTAATGATGTTACCTAAAGGAAGCATATATAGAGTAAATAGGATTGGTCCGAGCACAGAACCTTGCGGAACTCCAAAACAAACTTTGGTACGTAAGGATGATTCATTACGAACGTCAACAAATTGAAAACGATCAGATAAATAAGATTTAAACCAGCTTAGTGCTGAACCTTTTAGGCCAATTAAGTGATCCAGTCTCTGCAGTAGAATTTGATGGTCAATTGTGTCAAACGCCGCACTAAGATCTAATAAAACAAGAACAGAGACGAGTCCTTTGTCTGAAGCAATCAGAAGGTCATTTGTAATTTTAACTAGAGCTGTCTCAGTGCTATGATGCACTCTAAATCCTGACTGAAATTCCTCAAATAAATTATTATCCTGGAGAAAATCACACAGCTGGTCTGCGACTACTTTCTCAAGGATCTTTGACATAAAGGGAAGATTAGATATTGGTCTATAGTTGGCTAACACCTCTGGATCCAGGGTGGGCTTTTTTAGGAGAGGTTTAATTACAGCTACCTTAAAAGACTGTGGTACATAGCCTGTTAATAGGGATATATTGATCATATCTAATATATGAGTGTTAACTAAAGGAAAGACCTCCTTAAGTAGCCTAGTTGGGATGGGGTCTAAGAGACACGTTGATGATTTAGATGAAGAAATCACTGCGGTCAATTCTTGAAGAGAAATTGGGGAGAAGCAATCTAAATATATATTAGATTCTACAGCTGTGTTTGAGGTTAGATAGGTAGGCCTACCATCTGAGGGCAGGAGGTCATGAATTTTGCCTCTAATAGTTAGAATTTTGTCATTAAAAAAGCTCATAAAATCATTACTGCTAAGGGCTAAAGGAATACAAGGCTCAATAGAGCTTTGACTCTCAGTCAGCCTGGCTACAGTGCTGAAAAGAAACCTGGGGTTGTTCTTGTTTTCTTCTATTAATGCTGAGTAATAGTTTGCTCTGGCATTGCGGAGGCCCCTCTTATAAGTTTTGAGACTGTCTGTCCAGATTAAACGAGATTCTTCCAGTTTGGTTAATCGCCAATTCCTTTCAAATTTTCGCGATATTTGTTTTAACCTACGGGTTTGAGAGTTATACCAAGGAGCAAACTTTCTTTGCTTTGTTAACTTCTTTTTAAGAGGAGCTACAGAGTCGAGCGTTGTTCGCAGCGAGCCTACGGCGCTATCAACAAAATGATCAATTTGGGAGAGGTTAAAGTCGGCACGGGAAACCTCTGTTACTGAAGGTATTGGTATTGAATTTAACGACGAAGTAATCTTTTCCTTAAATTTTGTGACAGCACTATCTGATAAACATCTAGTATAGTAACTGTTGCTGAGTGGCGTGTAATCGAGTAAAAAGAAATCAAAAGTAATCAGATAATGATCTGATAGCAAGGGATTCTGTGGAAAGACTTTTAGGTTATCAATTTCAATTCCATACGTCAGAACTAGATCGAGGGTATGGTTAAAACAGTGAGTGGGTTCATGTACACCCTGACTGAAGCCAATGGAGTCTATTAATGAGATAAACGCGGTAGCCAGGGAGTCATTATCAACGTCGACATGAATGTTAAAATCGCCTACAATAATAACTTTATCTGATTTAAGAACTAAACTGGATAAAAACTCTGAGAATTCAGATACAAATTCAGAATACGGGCCAGGAGCACGGTACACTATAACAAATAAAAGTGGCTGCGAGGTTTTCCAGGTCGGATGTAAAACACTAAGAACGAGGCTTTCAAATGAATTATAATCTAGTTTAGGTTTAGGGCTGATTAACAGACTAGAGTTAAAAATGGCTGCAACTCCCCCTCCTCGGCCGCTGCCTCGAGGAATGTGGGTATTATTATGACTGGGAGGAGTGGACTCATTTAGACTAACATATTCATCTTGACACAGCCAGGTTTCAGTGAGACTGAGTAAATCAATATGATTATCTGATATTAATTCGTTTACTAACACTGCTTTAGACGATAGAGACCTGATATTTAACAGTCCGCATTTAATTCTCCTGTTTTGTCTTTCTGTCACAGAAGAGGTTTTAATTTTTATGAGGTTGTTATGCACAACTCCTCTTTGTTTAATTTTAGATTTAAATAATTTAGGTGGTCGGGGGACAGACACCGTTTGTATAAAACTATGAAAACTATGGCTGGGTAACTGAACTAGAAGCTCAGAGAGGCGTTTAGGACTGCAACTCTCTGTCCTGGTCTCAACTCTGGGTTGTCAGGGATTTAAATTACTAATAAAATTTGCCAGGTTCCTAGAAATGAGAGCAGCTCCATCCAAAGTGGGATGAATGCCGTTTCTCCTAATAAGACGAAACCCACATCGTTTGCTGGACACCACCTGGACAGCCAGCGATTAAATGATGACATGCGGCTAAACATGTCATCACTGGTCAGATTTGGGAGGGGTCCAGAGAAAACTACGGAGTCCGACATCGTTTTTGCATATTCACACACCAAGGCAATATTAATGGCATGTGGATGTCCCTCTACTGTCAGCCGTGAACCATGGGCTCATGTTTTCTCAACAGGAGACTTGGTATTGGCCAGGAGAGGTGACTGCTGACGCTGTGGTGATGAGTGGCGTTCGCTGCTCTGGTACTGAGATGTCTCTGTCCCACTGCCTGCACCACGGAGCCCACCTCAGCTGCCCTAGGGGAGGTGGACGCAATGCCGCTGGAGTCTCCTGCTCTGAGAGTGAGATACCCAAATTATATTTATAACATAATGTGGTGAATGCTTTTGAGAGGTAATGGTCAGAAAACATGCCTAGAAATCATGTAATGTTACATCAGTAGCCCATTAAAGAGCCTGAATGCTGTATGGTGATGAATGAAAGAGTAAGAAAAGAAGTAATTGACATTTCCGCTTTTAATTATACTTTGACTATAGCCTTTGCCATTTAATTTGCCAGTTCACACCTTTACATTGAAAAGCTTTGACTCTTGCTCTGCAGTTGTAATTCAACAAATGAAATTATTTCTGCCTCTTAAGAAGCTCTGCCTCAGAGGAATGTTTACATAACCGAAACTTCAATATCCCTCCTGAATCACAAGGGCTCTGCATTTGAAACAGAAGCCACTCATTTACTCAACGTGCCTGAGCTTTTCTGGGGTTTTTTGCCAATGACAGGGCCATACCGCTATGTTTCTAAAAATGTTTTGTCTCTGTCTGCTTCTCTGTGGTTTCTCTTCATCCTCCTGTCCACAGCGGCTCCTGACCTGGTGTTGAACCCTCAGGTGGTGGAGCAGACCACCTACATGGAGGACAGGCCCATGTTCATGCTGCAGTGTGCGTTTGAGGAGAATTGTCTGTCCTCCACCTCCAGCCAGGTGCCGGCCAACTCCTATCGCCGCCTGCTGCGCTTCTCATCCCAGATCCACAACAACGGCCAGTCTGACTTCCGGCCCAAAGCTGGCAGGCACTCCTGGGTGTGGCATGACTGTCACAGGTCAGTGTCGCAAGGGTTTGATCCAAGGGGCAACCTCTGGGGCTGAAAAGTGAAGCCCACACAGAAGTGTGGGGTGGCAGTAGCTTAGTCCATAAGGACTTAGGTTGGGAACTGGAGGGTTGCCAGTTCAAGTCCCCAGTATGGACCAAATATGCAGTGTGAACTGGTATCTGGATAGGTACCAGTTTTTGAGCAAGGCACTGAACCCCCAACTGCTTGGCAACTCCCTCACTCTGACATCTCTCCATTTGATGCACATTTAGGTCCTACTTTTGCGTGTGTGTATTTCAGGCCTGTGTGTAAAACCACAAGTTAATCATAGTGTTAGATCAAGCATGACACAATGTCAAGCTCAGCTCACATCCCAGTTACATCAGCTGATCTGAAGCAGCCCAGTCAACTGATGGAGCAGCCAATTGATGGAAGGGAGTCAGCTGATAGATCACATGATTCCTCTCTATGCCACCAATTGGCAAATCATATTCAGGGCACCCTACCCTGTCTACACCCTGCCCGCTGTTGCTGCTTCCTCTGCAAGGCTCTTTGCAACCCACCTCCATCCAAGCTCCTCCTCCATGTTGTGTCTGACTTATCAATGTCAATTCTATTTTCATTGATGCTGCTCTGTTCTGTTCCCGGGGGTTTTTTGCTGCTGCTCTCCTGGCCTTAGGCTTTCCATGTAGGAGCATGGAGGGGCAGAGAGGTGTGCTCTTTCTGCCGTAGAGCATTCCACGTAGGCGCGTGGAAGGGCAGAGAGGTGTGGTCTCTCCACCTTAGGCTTTCTGCATAGGCCTAGGAAAGGCAGAGAGGCCCCAGAACAGAGCCATACCGCTGAATATAATACTCTTCATGGGAATAAAGTTGTCTTTGCCTTAAGTGGTCCTGACTGAAGTAGTATTTTTTGCATTTCTGTTTGTTTATAGATGAAACTAATGAAGATATGAAAAATGTAATTATTGAGCCACAGAGGTCTTGGTAGAAGTATTTCTTAACTTTGTCGTTTAAACTAGCCAGTCTAGCCATTTCCTCCTGCTTTCAGTCTTCATACAAAGCTAGGCTAATCACCTCCTGGGTCTAGCGCCGTACTTACGCATAGACATGAGATTGATAGATCTTGAAACGCACAAAAGGAAAGCAAATATGTGGGTTTCCCAAAAAGTTGAGGGGTTTCTTTAATAAGCTGCTAGTCCAGCTTAAAGAAATTCAGGATGTTGAAAGTTTTGAAGTCCTGTGGTGATGTCTATGCTGTTTCAAATCTTTTCTGCCCTCAAAAAAAAGAAAATCTGGTGGTGTGGGGGATGCTAACTACTCACTATTAATAAAATATTTCAATAAAATGCTTGGTGTGACAGGAAAATGTAAAAATATTTAAGGACAAAGAGCATTATAAAATTCAATAAAACTTTAATTATAAAGAAAAAGGCCACTTATGCAATCCTTCTTACAGAACAATGAGCCTACTGAAATCCATGTGACATACATCATCAAATATCATTTGTGGAAACAGTTTTAAAAGTTTGTATCTAAGGAAGATAAATTGCAGCGTGATTAAACATCACAAGTATAAAGTCCGTTAGAAACCACAGAGTAGAAGAACACATTTGAATGATTCAGAAATGACATCTCAAATTAGACTTAATTCAAAGAAAGAGCGATGACTCAGCCCCCTCATGTCTTGTCTCTGCAGCAGTTTTTCCCTTCCATATGTTACACTGCCCTGTAATTGACAGTGTGCTGTAAGCTATAGCCAGTGTACAAAAAGTCCCACATTTTTGTGGTTCCTGTGTTGGCCGGGGGAACAGTTCACTGTTGAAAGCTTCACACAGCTACCAGCTTTTTAGCTGGCAAACCCTGGGCACCTTTGAATGGCAGAGGTAGGTGGCAGATGCCAGTTTGCCATGTTCTGTTTTTTAATAAAGGCCATCGTTGCTCTTTCTTTAGTGTACTAGAGCTACAACAGACATACTTGTACTTTTGTGTGACGTTTGTACCTGACTATGTTTCTAAACTTCATCTCTGTGTCTGTGTGTAGGCATTATCACAGCATGGAGGTGTTTACGCTCTATGACCTGTTCAGCCTCAATGGAACCAAAGTGGCAGAAGGACACAAAGCAAGTTTTTGCCTGGAGGACTCAGAGTGTGATGAAGGTGAGAACTGAAATGGGGGTTCTACTTTCATTTCAAGATATAAATAAAATTCAACTTTTCAGAAATGTGGCAGAATGACCCCTCACATAGTCAACAATTGTCTTTTAAATCTACATCAGTCAATATTTCTTATTTCACAGTGGATCAAGTGACTCAGTAATGTGAAAGGGGGTCAATTTTAGTGACGCACCAAGGACCTAGTCTGCACTTCCCTTTAGATCCACAGAGCTTTTTAGCATCTTTCAGCTCATTGTTTTGTCTTTGGTTCACTGCACTCATCCTTGTTTCCAGCTACAAGGCAGCTGTTTTGTGTGTTCTGATAAATCCACTGGACAATAGCTGCCCAGCACCAGCAGCAGACAGCCACTAAATGCTCCACAATGTTTACCTACGTCTAGAAGGTGGACATAGAGGAGCATTTAGCAGCTAAAAAGCCAGATATTTTTCTCAGATGTTGGTGGAGACCAAAACAGAGTGACTATTGGACTCACACCCATCTGTTGGATAGAAACATGGTTACAAATAAATGCCTATGTTTACCTGTGTCTGTTTCTTAAGAAGCAGCTTCATTAGATGATAATATGTCAGTGTTTAAAGCTTATTGCACTGCCCCCATGTGGCCAAAAAAAGAAATAACATGCAGCTTTAACATGTTATGAATGGTTCTCAGGGGGTTTACTTGTCATCACTTTTTCCTTTTGTAATGTCTTATCGCAGGTATTGAAAAGAGGTACGAATGTGCTAACTTTGGAGATCAGGGGATCACTGTGGGCTGCTGGGATACCTACAGGCACGACATCGACTGCCAGTGGATTGACATAACTGAACTCAAACCTGGAGATTACATTTTCCAGGTAATTCTTCCTGTGTTCTGTTGTTCCTCTTCTTTAAATAAAAAGCAAAATTATGTACACACAGCGTCCATTAGTCCTGGCCTCTGACTGTCATCCCTGACTTGTTCATGTTCTCCCTCTCACAGATAGTAATTAACCCAAACTATGAGGTACCGGAGACAGACTACTCAAATAACATACTGAAATGCAGATGTCGATATGATGGCCATCGTGTGTGGATGTACAGCTGCCATAATGGTAAGACCTCACAATTATCTGGAGGAATATCTGTAACATTTACTTTCCTTTTAATGTTGGTGATCTAAGAATTGAAGTTAATTCTGTTTTTACACTTAAGGTGACTTCAAACTGTAAATGTAACATACATGCAGTTGTTTCATTGATTTTGACATTACTTAATGCAATTTCAGTGGCAGTTATGTGGAATTAATTTACATTTATAAAAGAGTTTTTAGGAACACAAAATACATGTCAATGCATAACACCAGTAGTCTATCTGAAAATATAACTTTAAAATGATTAAAATAATCAGTAGAAATTATATCATACTGTCCAATTTAATTGCTGAGATCAGTCATGTATTTTTGATCATTATTAATTTTACTTTTTTTTTTTTTTTTTCAAAATTATAGAATGACAAAAATGAATTTAACTCAGAGTCCACACACTTCAATTTTCTGAAGCTTTCAGCCCCGTCTTATGATCTTGATCAGCAGATGGGAGGTTACTCAGTTATCATGGATCAGGTCCAGTTGTCATCAAATGACCTGTATAACACTTTGGTCATTTGAGAATAGATGGCCAGAAGGGAGTCTTAGTATGACTCCATGCTCAGATGAAGACTATGAAATGTAGTTGAAAGCTCTGGAAAAAGCCTGTAAGTGGGCAGTGAGTAAGTATTATTTCAACCCAGACTCACCCCCAACTTGACAAATGCTGACAATTGGTCAGGGGCCCAAGGCGTCAGGCACCGACAAACCAAGGCGCCCTTTATTGGCAGTATAAGACACACCCTGTGCCACTGGCTGCAACACAAGCACAAAGCATGATCGATCCACCTCCGTGTTTACCAGTTGGACAGGTGTTCTTTTCATGAAATTCTGCACCCTTTTTTCCACAAACATACCTTTGCTCATTGCGTCAAAAAAGTTATATTTTAACTTCATCAGTCCACAGGACTTGTTTACAGAAAGCATCATGCTTGTTTAGATGTCCCTTTGTAAACTACTGATGCTGAATTTTGTGGTGAGGACACAGGAAAGGTTTCCTTCTGATGACTCTTCCACAAAGGTCATATTTGTACAGGTGTAACTGCACAATAGAACACTGCACCACCACACCAGAGTTTGATAAATCTTCCTGCAGGTCTTTTGCAGTCAAATGGGAATTTTGATTTGCCTTTCTATCAATCCTATGAGCATCTGTCTTAGAAACTTTTCTGGGTCCTTGCAGACCTCAACTTGACCTCCACTTTTCCTGTTAACTCTCATTTCTTAATTATATTACGAACTGAGGAACAGCTACCTGAAAACACTTTGCTATCTTCTTATAGCCTTCAGAGCCCATGGCTGCTGATTGTTGAGACAAAGTTTCAGGAGTCAGAGTATTTACAAATGCTATGAAATGTGCATCACCTGGCTTTTTCTAATGATGATTTTGAACAAGCCATAGCACTAATTATGATCTGAGACCCTGGTAAAAGTTATCTGAGAGCTCAAATCTCTTGGGGTGCCTAAACTGCATGGTGCTCCTGTCCGTTTTTCACTCTAAAATTGTACAAAACAAAAGATGATACACTTATCGTGCTTAAAACGTTGAAAAGCATGTTCCATCTTTAATTCCATGCCTCTTGGGAGTCAGTTCATCTTCTACTTATTTAACTATTAACAGTAAATGAAATTTTGACCAGGGGTGCCCAAACTTTTGCATGCCACTGTATATATATTACAATATGTATGGTTACAGCTATGAGAAACAATATAAAGTATACTTAATGTTCTGATTTATTATCTGATATGCTGATTGAAGTGCAGTCTGAGCACTTAGCAAGGCAGAAATCTTTGACATTTATCACTGGAGCTTACTGAAAGTGTTGGTATCAGATGTGAGACAAGGAAAAAGTGTGGCGACGGTAACTTTGTCTGTCTCTGCTAGGTGGCTCATTAAGCATCGAAACAGAACAGACGTTCCCAGGGCTCCTCAACAACCAGGTGACCCACAGGTAAAGACAAAGCAGAGGAGATGAGTCGACTGGCAGTCCCCCTTCCTGCAGGAAGGCCATCTGAAACCCACCAACCACTCCGCATCTCCATCTGTGGTGGATTCCCCCTGTCAGCCCTGCCCTGGTCAAAATATCTTGTTACATTTCCCCTTCTGTTAGGAAGAGCCCTCCTTCCCCCACGGCTGAAAAAGTATTGTTTTCCCCCTCCGGTCCAAACAGAGGCAGCTACAGCCTTACCAACACTTCCATGTTAAGAACAAAAGATTGGTGATGCTATCCTTGTGCCTTGTAACTTTTTTCTTTTAAATGAGTGATGAAATAAACCTGCCGGGAAGTGGCAGGTATTTTACACAAGCTGCAGTGTTGGGGAATGTCATCAAGACTGTGTCCTCTTTGAAGTGCAGCACTTTAACAGAACCCTGCTGCAACACTTTTTGTTCAAAGCTTCCCTGTCAGTGGCAGGTCGCCTGAGGATTGAGAGGAACCGTGGATAACAATAGCAGTGGTCTGTCTTTGGAAATAAAGTCAGTGTTCTTCCACTTTTCATAAAGTGCCTCTTACACACATACACTGAGTTTATGTTCCACAGACAAACTGAGCATTTCTGTTGCATGTCAGTTATTCAAGCTGAAGTTTCACATCTTAATTGAGGAGTTTACAAATCAAGTTGCGGCACAAACAAGTCCTCAAAAAGCAAACAGCCCATTCATCACAAATTAAAAGTGCTAATTGCTTGATTCAGCTGTAAAACTAATCCAGCGAGGCTGAACTATCACATACTGAGACGCCTCAGAGTGCCCCAAAGCCTTCTTTTAAATAACTGGAGCATATATTCTCTCAAATTGCTCTACACGAACAAGGACTGTAGTCTTTGCATCAAATCTGATTAGGCCACATTTCAAAGAGGAGTCGCACTATCATCCTTTGTGAGCACTGGTGTCCCAGTGTGTGTTGGAAGCAATCTCAGTTAGTCTAGAAATCATTTAAGCAAATTTTACCCACAGATTTACCTATAATTTACACTATAGTATGCATTACCTAAGAGGTTTTAGTTTTGACCAGCACTGATAGTAGTTTTCCAGTTACTGTGCAAAATTGACAACAACAAAAAAAAAAAAAATACTGATTTAGAACTGGGTTATGTCCTCCCTTTGGTAACTTTGAGATTGATGTCAGCTTCCAGACACTGTCTTGTTCTGATATATCCATAATTCTTTTTATGATATGTAGCAATATTTTGCTTTTGAAGCTAATATATCTACGTTTTTTCTCTCCCCGTTCAGTGCCTTTATAAAACACTCAGATTCATTACACCCACCATCTTTAAAGACCAATTTAATACCACTTAGAAATCTAGTTTTTTATAACTTAAAGTCCAGCCGAAAATAAATTGCCTGCTTTACAGCCTACCGATCCACTCTGTAGGTTCCTGTTTTATAGTCTGCTTTTAGGACGACATAGCCAGTCTGTGCCATTGGTTCTTTGTCTCGTCTTCTGTCATCTAACTGCACAAAGGCCTGGTCACAGCAGCATTTAAAACAGCTCCATTTTGCTGCAGTTTCCAATCATTCCAATTAAATCATTGTAATTAGTGTATCCTTTCGCTGGTGCAAAGTAGATGAGTGCAAATTGTGCAAAAGCTATCGTTGCTAATCAGCTGTGTTGCACCATCAACTTTTATTTAACCTGCTCTGTTCGAGTAAAACTGTTCCACAAAAGAGGAGACATTTATGAGACAGGAAGTGATGGTAGGCCTACAAATGTGTCTTTCGAAAAAACTGCGTGAAGTTTTTATCCTGCTTATGATCGAGCTAAGCTAACAAGATTTTGAGTTTGATAACTGATCTTTTGCAAGTTTCTGGGGAACATGGGACCCTGTGTCAAGTTCCCATTATGTACTATATAAATCTGGGAAACAAAGAACCTTGTAAACATAGGAGTCTTGGCGAGTACATATGTAGGTCTGGGGAACAAAGGACCCTGGGAACATGGACTCAGGGAGCACTGGAATTACCCTACTAGCACCAGCCCAGATAGCTAGCGCTTTAATGTCTCACCAGGCAACCACAGCAATTTACCAACTAGCCCTGATACTATAGTCACTACATCACTACTAGAGCCAAATATTATGCAAAGCCACATGAATATATTCTGCTGTACCATTTTCTAGTTGTGACCAGGCCTTAAAGCAGAAACACACTGTTGTATCAGAGGCTGAGTAACAGCCAGATAGCAGTCTGAGACACAACATAAAAGAGGACAAACTTTGAACCATCTCACATTAACTTTCAAGCTATCATATTCTAATATCTTCTTCATATCTACTGTACAAGAAGGTAGCTTAACTTAGCTGAAAGAGCTACCAACCATTGCGGGGTAGATAGCTAATTAGCTAGTCAGCTGTAGCACATGGTAGGCTACCAGCAACACTGCCAACAAATTTCTGTCTGACCTTTGCTTGTAAGCTAGCAGTCAAAGACACGCACTCATAGTCTTGAAGGCTTAAGAGCTTTTTTAATGTTTGTCAAAAGGGCTATTTTCTTCCTTTGAATAATAAAAATATCAATGATTCATTGAAAAATTGCTCTGAACTTTTCTTTAAGACACATGAGTGTATGTGTTACTGAAATGTGTCTTAAGTCTTCCACAGCCAGTGGCACGCTGTTGGTTCTACATGAGGATCATAGGACTGTTCTACAGTATCATGCTTTCACATACAGGAAGGTTTCAGCCGTTATTTGTTGCCTTTACAAGGAAACACAAGAGCACAGGTATCATCCTCTCAGAGAAAGCTCATGGAATAGCGTTTCTCCCCGTTAAGAGTTGCAGATATTAGTTACTGTTACTGAAGTTAGGTTTTTTTTTACAGTTTTATTCCTCGTTTTAAAATAATATGTTACGTACAATAATGTGTGTGTGAATCCTGTTTTATTGTACTTTTTTATAATGGTGCTATCAAACTGGTCCTCTGTTTTCTGAGGGTGCAGTACGTGTTGAACAGCTACATTATGTATACTAACAGTATACTTGAACTGAGAAATAAATTGCTTTGTGTGTTAAACTATAATAAAGGTCTGAGTTACGGAGCAACCAAATCTTTGCTGTTAAATGTTGTTTCTATTCATTTTTTCCTCACTATATTTATATTTTGCGCGTCACCCTGCTTCACATATTTTCCATAACAAAAACTGTAATTCGCAGCTGCTGTTTGCAGGCATTTTGTTTAAGTTTGATATTTGATACGTGAACATCAATTATCTTAAACATCCTTCCCTCCTCTGCATTGAAACCACTGTGCGACAGATTACAGCACAGACTTGAGTGACTTGAGCTCAGCACACTACCATCAGCTGGTGTCTTTGAAACAGACTGTGAGCTGAAAGAGTCTCTTTCTTGTTGCACTCAATTTCCCGTGAGTGTTTCTTTTTTTCCCACATATGTTTACCTGAGGTAGGAGAAACAATCAGTCACCTCTGGCAGCATTTACACTGCAGCAGCTGTGATTTTTTTTTAACCCCTTCTGTTTCTGACTTCATTTATGCACACCCTAAAAGAGTCTCACACAGTGGTTGTAAATAAGAATTTTCCTTCCAAAATAGATTCCATAATCCAAATAGTAAAAATGGAATATGGGCATTATTTTTATTAACTAAATTTAAGCAACTAAACAAGCAGTGACCAGTTATCACATAATGCAAAGCTGAAACTTGCATACACATTCATTTGCTACTTTGACAGAGGTGAGTTATAACTAAGTACAGTTCTTAGGTACAATTTAGAGGTACTTGCACTTTATATTTTTACTTAAATATAGGCAGTTAGTATACTTTTTACTCCACTGCATTTGACAACATTAGCTACTAGGTGCTCTGCAGATTTAGCTTATTAATGTAAAGTATAAATGAACTAATAAATTATGATATAGTATTATAATTTTCTTATGCCATACTATACTATAAATATTTTCATGACTTTGTTTTTACATACTACACTATGACTCGATTAATTATATTTTTATGCAATACACTACTAAGATTTTTTTTTTTTTTAATGAAATTTCTTCTCATGCTACACTGTGGCTTTATTTAGGATATTTTTATGCCATACTATACTATGATTATTAATTATATTTTCATGCCACACTATACCATTACAATGTTTATGACATTTTCATGTCATATTATACTATGAATGTTTTAACATTTTTAATGCCATATTATACTACGATTTTGTATATCTTTATGCCCTAACATAAAGTGACAATTTTGTATGACACTTTTATGGCGTATTATACTATGATGTTTTAATGGTATTTTTATGGCATACTATACTATGTGATTTTTTTTTTAATGCTATAGTATACTATGGTGATTTTTATTATATTTTGTAATCATACAATATTTTTTACATTTTTTAAAACATTTTTTTTATGCCATAAAATATCTTGACATTTTTATGATATATTTATATCATTATATTATATTTATACTTTCAGGACAATAAAAAGTAGTAAAAAGTAATACACACTTCAATGATTTATTTATTCTCCACCAGGGTTGTATTGCTGGCAGTGTGGAGAGAACTTTGAAATAGCATTGAGACGTTGATACTGGGAAATGTGGTGGAGTTCAGGATTAAAGTAACATTAAATTGTCCCCTAGTGTTGTCCCCTCTAGAATTGTTGTATTTACGCATGTATGTATTTCTTCATTTTTTGGCCTTAAGTGTGTGAATTCTAAAGATTTTTTTTTTTTAAATCCTCATTTGACAAACCAGAAGAACAAAACCAGCTCAACACAGCCCATCATTTTCTGAGGCACAGTTCAGCAGAAGCCTATAATGGTGCAGCAATGACCTCTTGTGGCTCCTAACAAACCTTGCAGTTATTTTCTCTGGGGAGTAGGTGAGTTACAGTAAATTTACAGGGTAAATATATTTGTGACCCATTCATCCATTCTCAGCAACACTTATCTTGTTAACTGTCACAAGGTACTGGAGCCTGTCCCAGCATGCACTGGGGAGAGAAGAGGCATCCGCCCTAACCAATCACAGAGCTTTTAGACGCTCACAATCTCACCTCCAGATAGTCTAGAGATTCTAATCCACCAAACCTGCGTGCCTCTGCTGCGTGGGAGGAAAAGCCACACAGACACGAACAGAAGATGCAACTCTGAGCCAAAACAATAGGAGTGGTACATCTTCATACCAAACAATCTGCTGTTTCCCCATCTACCACAGACAGATCCCATTTCAAAGCCCACTAGTAGAGGGGAGGGATGTTTACAGTAAAGTCCAATTATACTTTTTCTGCCAGAGTACATCCAATAAACCATAAAGCCCATGAATTACAGTTGTCATAAGAACAGTCATTTAGAACTGAGGCAGTAAGCTGCCCCAAATCTTTATGCGGTCTTTAAATTACGGCTGCTTTCTCTGTAGGAGAACACTAGCTGTGGATGTTGGAGTGAAGCCAACACATTTCTCTGTTTGGGCAATCTGTTGTGCTGCAGTGTAAACTGAGCTCAATCACACAGTAGGAGGACCTGCGAGGGGACTCGCCCCGACGCTGCTGCCTCCCACAGAGAGCCAGACAAATGTGCAGTGTCTCCCCTGTAACTGCAGCATTCACACAGGAAGGAAACTTCTCTGGTGATTCAGATCACATTTTTTTTCAAGGCTCTTAGACAGACAGAAACTACATGGAGGGTGTGCAAAACAAGGGTGTAGGTTTCCTTTCAACACTGGGGGACACACATAGGGTTTGGGGGTCCTCCGCCAGAAAATGTGTGCATTTTCTACATCGGTTTACAATGAAAATGTCTTTCATTTTGTCAAAATAAGAGTACTCCACTTATTTCATGTTTGTATTGTTGTGGACAAATCAGGGCTGCACAATTTATCAAATAATAATCACAATTTGGAATTTGGCTACCCACAAAATGCGTGCTCCACTCATAGAAAACTGTGCTGCATATCAAAATAGGTGCTTCTAAACTAAAAGTCAGCCTCCACTTTTGAAGAGCTGTGAACTCTACTGCAGCGACAGCCTGTGAAAAAAACTGGCTGACTGTCGTGACTACAGACGGGCAACAACATAATCATCCATCATCAACTATCATTATCTGTTGTTCAGAAGTATTTTGGATTTTGGAGAGAGCACCGGTGCACATGAATCCTCTCCTCATCATCATCCAGTGATAACACATCAGATACTCATGATAATGACGCTGCAGCACGTCATGGTTCCGTGACTGCTTAAAAAAAAAAAAGTGCGGCAGATACATATCCATAGGACATGCACTGAATCAGGTGAAGAAGAAACATATTTTACCTCTTATTTTGATGCAAAGATTTCCTAATTAATCATGTAGCACAACATGGAAGTGAAAGAAGTTCTCTGTTTATTTAAAAGGGAAAGTGTAATAAAAATATTTAGTCCCTAACAACAATGAATAATCGTGATAAACAATTGTGATCTCACCACTGATCAAATTAAAAGTGATTATCATTTTGGCCATATTCGTGCAGCCCTAGGACAAATGCACATATTCTAAACACTGAGGGGAGCGTGTCCCCTGTGATCCCCCTGAAGTTTACGCCTATGGTGCAAAAGCAGCCATCGATGCATGCGGTATATAACCATGCATGCAGCACAAGGCTGTCAGAGGGCTGCTTGAATTATTCCACAATGGTCTAATTTATTGTTGAGAATCCCAAATTAAACACACAAATTAAATTCACCTCATGTCCATGTGGAACACAGTGTAATGGTAAAATGGGCAGACCTGTTATGGATTGTGTCTGAGAATACAAAAGCACAGAATGTAGAAATGATGTTAAGTCATTCTGTCTCATCCAGTATGACACAACATGGAGAGCTGTTGTTGTTATTCAGATTTAACTTACAGCAATGGATTTTCTGTGTCAGGACATAACATCCAGAGGATCCCTAGTATTTTTTCATAGGGATGGCAAGCTGGGGCCACTGAAAATCTTGGGGTGGCACATCAAAACCAAAAACCATGACTGAAAATTCTGCTGAAGTATATAAGGTGATTGATGTATATATAATATGGAGAGGTGAACTGTGCAGTATGCAAATCTAGAGAAAGATAGTTGATTGCTGAGTATCGTTCCGAGGTCGTCAAATATGGACATTTTGGGTTGGCGGTTCGGTCTGACTACCAACCCAAGGTCAGAGACTTTGACAACCTGGGAATGAGACTCAACAATCAACTATCTTTCTTCAGATCTGAATACTTAACCTTTAAGGAAACACACACTGATATACTTTGGTTTACTATTTGACAGTTAATGTAACCAATTATTTGATGTGTTAGACTAATACTGGTAGAGTTGACAGTCTGAGTCCCTGAGCAGTCCTGTTTTAATGTGGTGCATAGGCTGGTTCTGCTGCTCTTTAAAAAGACAAATATACCGCTTTAATTTGAAGGAACAAAAGATTTAGTGGGTACAAGCCTTCTCAAGTTTAGGGGAAACTCATGGGTACCCATAGGACCCATTTTCATTACGATATCTTGAGGTGAACGTTCATGGGAGCCCTTTGAAAATGACCATGCCAGCTGTTCCTTCACCAAAATTTAGCCTAACCTCATGAAAAAATTTAGCCTCACACCACATGAATTACATGTCTAGTCAATGTATCACTGTGCGAAACATGTGAATTATACGCAGCGCGAATGAAGCAAGTAGTACGATTTCCCATCGTACACTTAATCGTGAGAGTTGAAAATCTGAACTTCAGTGACTGATTCACGCCGCAGTAGCCAATCAGCATTGAGATCCTCTAGGGACATATGATGCAGAGGACGACTGGCGGAATTCATCGATTCAGTGATTTCAGGCGTGTATGACATGAGTTATTCGTGTGTATGAAGCACATCAACACAAAATATTCTAGCATTCAAACTTGTGCGAGTAACACGACGCAAAAATTCGCATTGCATTTGGTGTGGACTCAACATAAGTTTGGAGCATTAAAGACAGTGATGTCAGCCTCCAATTATGTTTGCCAGTGGGCGGCCAGCTATTGTATCAGGGTGGCCCTCCCTCAGGGGCGCCATTGCTTACTCAG